ATTAGTCTAGTCTTAAAAGATTTTCTGTTTTGGAATATATATATAGAATTTTAGAGTTGATTTACAGTAGGACCTAATTTTTGAAGCAAGGTGGCCCAAGAAGTGATTCTTCCCATCCACAGTTTTAGCAATCAGATGAATTAAACCATGTATGTAAGGGAAATGTGGTGTGTGTCCATTATGTACTTACTTTGGTTACTAAGTAACCTGCCTTTTGTGTACCTATCATATTAAAATTTGGTATGAATACTTGATAATTTCATAGCAAAATAAAATAGTACATGAACATAATTTGCTAACTTTTGGGTTCCTTAACAGAATAGGCTTAAAATAGCATATTATTACTATTATTATTTTCTAACAACCAATACTGTCCCCAGAAAATAACATTATTTTTAAATAAAACTGGTCCCTAAAACACTTTGAATATGTAAAACATACTTTGTTTAAATCAAAAACTCAATAATGATTTTTAAAAAGGGGAAGGAAGGTTAGAATCTTAAGCTGCTTGTAGTTTAGATAATTCACAGCATCCAGGAATTGCTTGCTGGGTTGAATAGATCTCACAGAAGTAATAACGAAGAACAGCAGTAGTGGGAGTGGGGGCTTGAGGTGAACTGAAAGAATAGGAGATTTTGTTCAGCTAGATGGTTATTAGAAAGTAATGTTTCTGAAGTGCAGCCATTTTGGAACTGATGGTGACTAGGATGTGGCCTTATAATAGGAGGGGCAGGATTGGAGGATGAGGAAGGAATTGGGGGTAGTGTTAATCTGTTGAAGGAGAGGGAATTTATACTTGCTGAAATTTTTTGGTCTGAAATGGGAGGCAATGTCATCTGTTGGGTGTGTAAGAGGGATGGGATAGCTGGGTAGGAAAGGGTAATTGAGAAGAACAATAAAAGTTTGGGATGGCTACTGTGGGGACCAGAAGGCAGAACAGACCAGGGATCTGTAGAAGGGCATTCCAATCATGTGAAGAGCCCCTCTCAAGTTGAAGACTATGAATGTTTAGTGCCACCAGATATTGGAAGATAGAAAGTGGATAGTTGAGTTGAACTTGGGTTAGGAATTTCTTATGTAGGTGAATATTCCAGAGATTAGCAAACATTTTCTGTAAAGGGCACACACAATAGTGTAGGCTTGCATATGGTTTCTATTATAATATCTATTATAGTAGATAAATGAACGGGTGAGGGCATGTTCAAATAAAACCTAATTTACAAAAACAGGTGGCAAGCTGGATTTGACAACTCTAATATGTGCCTTAGGGTAGGCTGTATATGACTTTACTGAGAATAGCATCTATGAAACTATGAAATGAATGAGGTCAAAATTACTCATGTATGCAGATGATTGATAATGAATAACAGCTTATTCCTAAACCAGTTGATTAATGTAAGTAGTAGTCAGCTTGAATAAAAGGTAGACTGAGACTGCCGAATTTTCATTTATAGTTGTTTTTACCTTGAGCTAACTGGCCACTTTCTTACCCTTTGAAAACACTTAGGTTAAGGATTCTTACTTGTGACTGCACAATATATTCAGCTGGAGAGTTTGAAAAATTACTAATGCCTGGCTGTCACCCTCAGAGATTTAGTGGGGTCACAGGTGGACAGCCTGGGCCTCAGGTTTTTTAAGAGCTCCCCAGCAGATTCTAATGAGCAGCTAAGGTTGAAAACCACTGATTTTTAATTCATTGTTATGGGGCCTGAGACTGGTGTAGGTTTGATATGGAATTTCAGGGTACAACAGTCAATGATGGTAAGGATATGGTGCAACAAGCCATATTAAACTCAATAAATTTTGGGGGCAACTTTTCACCTCATTAATTTTTGTCATTAGTTGAATTATATTTGAGGCTACTTCTTTGATTTTCCTCCTTCCTTTTCCCTTCCCCTTCCCCTTCCCTTCCTCTTCCCTTCCCCTTCCCCTCTCTTTCTTCCTTCTCTTCCTTTTCTTTGTTTTGTTTCTCTGTTGCCCAGGCTGGAATGCAATGGCATGAGCATAGCTAATTGCAACCTGATTTTCTTGTTCTTTCTCTTTTTCTTTTTCTTTATAAAGCTTCAGCATGTTTATTGTGTTTTCATCTATATTTGAGTATGACTTTATTTACTATAATGTGACTAATGTTTCTTGCCTGCATTTTATATTTAACATACATCATGCTCTTTTATTGATGTTTGTTGGATATGGCCTTTGTTTCTTTTTGTTTGTTTAGTAGTTCAGTATAAGTATTACTATTATATGTGATGATTGATTGAAGAAGAACTAATGAAAGTTTCTTTAAACTTTAAAAAAAAAAAAAGGATTCTGAAGGTGATACCCCTCTTCATGATGCAATAAGTAAGAAACGTGATGATATCCTGGCAGTTCTTTTGGAAGCTGGAGCAGATGT